CTGGTGGAGGATGTGAAGGTTGGAGGTAGACTCAGCTGCAGTGACCATGAAATGGTCGAGTTCAGGATCCTGAATGGAGGAAGCAGGGCGATAAGCAGGATCAAAACCTTGGACCTCAGGAGGGCTGACTTTGCCCTCTTCAGGGAGCTACTGGGAGAAATCCCGTGGGACAGGGCTCTCGAAGGCAGGGGGGTCCATGAGTGCTGGTCACTCTATAAACGACACTTCCTCCATGCTCAGGAGCAGTGCATCCCCCTGAGAAAGAAATCCAGCAAAGGAAGCAGGAGACTTGCATGGTTAAAGAAGGAGCTTCTAGCGGAGATCAGGTGGAAGAGAAAGGTTCATGGAATGTGGAAAGAGGGGCAGGCCACTTGGCAAGAGTACAGGAATGTGGTCAGAGCATGAAGGGATGCGATGAGGAAGGCCAGGGATGCGATGAGGGTTGGACTAGATGACCCACAGAGGTCCCTTCCAACCCCTACCATTCTGTGATTCTGTGATTCTGTGATTCTGTGATCATTCTTATCACTGCTCTGCTTTTGAATGTCATTTCTGTTCTTTTCACCCTGTTTGAAGTAAGGTCAAAGAAATACTCAGCTCTTCTACATTTGCTGAAAACCATCACTGAGTAGTAAAAAGGGATTCTCGTGATGCAACTGCTGTTTGGAGAACTCAGCCATTACCTGTTCTTGCAGTAGTAACTCAGTGAATCAGCATGTTGATAACTGAACTCCTTGTGCATGTTAGCATTCTTGACTAGGTGGTAGTTAAAGAAAGTAGGAGTCTTGATGGTAGGGTGCTGAGAATCTAGAGGATAGCTGAGGAGAGTGTAGGAAGTATTTAGGAATTATGGCTAGACCTTGAGTTACTACGGAAGCAAAAATTGGATATTGCAAAGGCCGTGGAATTTTGCAGATGGAGGGTTGCAAAACCATTTCTGGGTTGGGTGGTTGTTGAAATGAGGAATATGTAGGGGACATACAACATAAAACCACAGGAAAGCATGCCTCATTAGATCTGTTGTCTACAAAACTGTTGATGTAAGGACGTATATGTATTTGAATGTCTCTTTTGGCCTTTTAGTTGGGCAATTAGCATTCAGTTCTATAGTAAAAAAAGATACCTTTGGATTTTTACCAATTTTAAAGCCACTATAATTTCAAAAAACAAAGAGAAACTCCAAGCAAAAATCCAACTGAGTGACTTACTTTACCTTGCTAATGAATTTGAAACAGTTTCTCTGTGAAGGAAGACTTCATTTGGTCCTGCAGAAAGAAAATGCTTCTGATTCAAACCAGCTTTTGCTTCTAGCCAAACAGGATAGAGCAAGCAAATTCACCTCAGGAAGAGTCAAAGAATATTTTGGGGTTAGATCTTGTTTTCATTCTTAAGATAGAAAATTAATAACTTGCATTTGTAACTGAACCACTAAAACTCCACTTAAAATATGTTGTTTAAGTAGCAGTCTCTGTTCAGATAGTGCCCATAATATCCCTTGGCACACAGTCAAGTTCATGATACGTGCTTTGAAAGTGGTGGATCCCTCATTGTGAAAAACATCAATCAAAAACTGCAGCAGTTAGTTAGAAAGAAAACATTGCTATTGAATTCTGGGATTTTTTAGCTGCTCTGAAGTGCTTTATGATTCTCCACAGTTGTTTAATATAAGATAAAAATGAATAGTCTATCTTAAAGTGCACTAAAGAGAAGCAGAATATATCCATCAACTTAGACCGATGGGTTGAACTGATGCATTTTCTTCGGTTACAATTTGAAATGTATATAGGATAAAAAAATAAAGTTTCATACTAATTCTGCATATACTGACAGATGAAAAGAAAATGTATATATCACAAAGACATAAACCAAAGTAGAATTTGGGCATAATCTGATCAATTGTAGCATCATCTTGGATTTTTCTTTGCCCATCTTATGCATTGACTTGATTTTTCCAAGTCCAGAATAAATTATTTTATGATATAAATGTCTCAGCCCTGAAATCGACTTAATCATCTCTGCTCTGGTAAATGGAGTATAAAAACATCATCTCCTTGTGTAATATACCCCTACTCGCTATAAATTCCTAATCATGCCAGCTAACCACGGAAAAGGCAGTGTTATGTTTGGCCTCTCGATGTCACTGAATATTTGATACGCCCCGAAGGATGTAGCAGTCAGATGGGCATTTTCGGTTTTGATTCCTTTCAAGTCTGCTTCCTTTTTTTGTGTGTGGAAGTGTGAATTTTGCTGACCTTGGGATGGGTGAAGAGGAGAGGCTTCACAACCTTTTTGAAGATAAAAATCCGGAGATTTGGATAGCAGGTCCAGAAATTTGTTTCCTATGGTTTTATTCATTGCTGTGGGGATGCTCTGATATTTTAAGAGGTGAATGCATTGAAGGCCTTCCTGTTTTTCTTCATTGCTGGTTTCTGAAAAACTAGCAGGGACAGTTGACCTGTCAGACCTTCAGCCAGGTTGGTAAACCTGTCAGGAATTTCAGAAGGTTCTGGAAAACAGGCGTCCATACAACCTGATCGTATGAGATTTTTTTTTTTTTTCCTAAGCAGAGAGCTAGAAAATTTGACTCTCTACTTTCAAACCAAAGGATAATACTATTGGATCTTTCCCCATTCCAACTCTGTTCTCTTTTTCATCTGATTTCTAGTGGATAGG